TATTGTTCAAGGCTAAATATTGCTAAAGAAATTAGAGTGGTCATTTCTGATATTACACCACGTTTTGATAAACTTTGTTCTCAAAAGCAGGCCCATCCATCACACTGAACTTTGACATTTAAATGCTTGATTCTCTTTGCAGAAAAAAAATAAATATTGTACTTGTTAGTTAAATATCGTTTCATTTCAATACATATTTTGGTTAATTGGAAGTGTTAAAACTAATTTTTATTGTAGGCCTAGTATTGTGATACTTTAATTTGAGTAAAAAACTGCTAAATAGTATGTAGAAAAACACAAAATAAACTGAATAAAACGTCAAACATACCATGACTTCTGTTTTGATAAAAAAACAGGCAGGGGGCCTGAGAGTATTTTCTCTTGTCAGGGGGGCTCAGAGGTAAAAGTTTGAGAACCACTGATCTGGGGGATTGTGAAGTTGAGATCACGCCCTGTAGCCCCGCAGCCCTGCAGCCGCAACCCGCTTAACTGGCTCTTACATCAACCTCAGGTGCGAGCGACCTTAGACCGTTCAACTGCTGTGGTCGCTGGTACGAACCCGTCTCGAATCATGGATTATTTGTCTCGTAAAAATGGAGGTGCCTTATGAAGTACCGGTCCCACTGGCCCTTTTCTGCAGATGAAACACATCTCATACATCTTGAAACTCTGTTGTTTACACGTCTGGTATACTAGAATATTTCGGAAGCTTAAGGAAACAGTCTGCAGAAGCATTTCTTTCCGTGCACCAGATAACTGTGTGTGAACCTTGCTGTTCACGTAAATGTTTGGAAGTCCTCTTGTGACTGACGTTTGGTAAAAACACTTCTCTGCGTAATTCAGGCGGTTCGAACGCGCGAACTCCACGAAGCTCGACGTAAATGGCCTTCAGGTGATAGGAGAACACAGATAGACCAAATTTCTGAAGCACAATCTCTTTGCTGTCATATACATACGTACACGTACATCATCGGCCTTTATTTATTGCCTTCAGGTACAGAACCACTGTTGCACAGAGTCCTGTCACACTGCGAATTCAGGAAGTAAGTTATTTTATTAATTTAAGTACGATTAAATGTTTTATTGGAATATTCAGCTTATAAAACTGTTGCAAATAAAGGATGTTTACGTTAGTATGGCTCGCCCTTAAGGTCACAGCTGCAAAACCTTTGTATGATGCGCCAGCGATGAA